AAATCCGATCCTATTTCTGTATACTAGCATTGAACAGTTAGGAAATTGAAATTATAAAAGGATCACTTACAACAGCACCAGCAAACATAAAATAGAGACAAAATAAAGACTAAAGAAATAACAATGGCCCGGCCGGGTGTGGATCAGTGGTTGAGTGTCAACCTAGGATCCAGGCGATTGGGGTTCGATTCCCAGTCAGGGCACATGCCCAGGTTTCAGGCTCGATCCCCAGTCGGGGGAGTGCAGGAGGCAGCTGATCAATGACTCTCATCATTGTTGTTTCTCTCTCTCTCTCCCTCTCCTTTCCTCTCTCTGAAATCAATAAATATATTTTAAAAAATTAAAAATAAAAATAACAATGTACTCAGTGAAACTTAATTTTACCCTGGTTAAAAAAAAATTTTTAATCAACTATAAAAAGATAATTGGACAAAAGGGAAAGTTGCATATGCACTAAACATTATAGAATTCTTAATTTTCTTAGATGTGATTGTTGCAAGGGTCAGCAAACTTTTACTATAAAAGGCCAGGCAGTTCATATTTTCAGCAGTTGTGGACCACAGGTATCTTGTGACTACCCTACTCTGTCACTGTCCCACCAAAACAGCCACACACAACATATAAACAAGTAAGCACTACTGTGTCCCAATAAAACTTTATTTATAAAAACAGGCAGTAGGCCAGATTTGGCCTGTGGCCCACAGTTTGCGGACGCCTAATGTAGACAAAACTACCGTGATAGAAAGCAGAATAGTGGTTGCCCATGGTGAGGTAGGCAACGGGATGAGGGCTATGGGGGGAAACTTCCTGGAGTGATAGAAATGTCCTCTGTCTTAATTGTGCCGTTACATGCACGGATACATTTGACAAAACTCATCAAACACTATATACTTATAATGAGCATATAAATGATATCTCAATAAAGTTGACTTGTTTTTAAAAGGTACTCTTTCAAGCTGAGAGGATCAATGATGTGAGAAGCATTGATTGCCTTTGGAGTCAAAATAACCTCAGTTCAAATTTTAGCACCATAGTTTAATAGCTACGTGAACAGTCAAATCACTTCTGGGTCTGTTCCCTCATCCTAAAATGGGTTACTAACACTTGCCTCATAGTTTTTTTTAAATTAAATAAGAAATGTAGGTAAGACACAAAATATAACATCTGGCACAGAAGATGCACACTCCCCTGATGTGAGTAAACCAATGTAAAAAATAATAACTTAAGGAAATGAGCAAAGCGCAGATGACACTATCTTCTTTTGTACTCTTCTGAAATAGTCTAACATTCTTTCACTCACTGTTTACTGTGGTTTCACCTGACTTCAAGCATTGGTATCCAGTCAGTTCCTGTGATTTCACAGTAACTTGGGTCTAACAGCAAGCACTGTGAACTAAAATTTGTTTAGAGTTTAGAAAAACATTTTAATGATAAATACTGTAAAAGGAAATATGCAAAGAGCCAGAAGTAAAAAGTATCCATTTTCCCAAGCAAGAAGATTAGCAACAGAAATTGCATAATATTTTAATTACCTTTTATAAAGAAAGGCCAAAAAAGTTAGCTGGATGTTTTCCCCTTTTAGACTATGATTTGAAGTTAATCCAAACCAGAAGCCAACCAATAATGTTAAAAAATGACAGTATTTGTACAGCGCTTTATCCCATGTGATTTTACAACAGTAGTACGTAGCAGATAAGATAATTATTAAATTTGTTTTTATTTTGTAATTAAGGATACTAAGTCTGAGGTAGATGAAGTGGTTGGTTCAAGGACACACAGCCAATAAAGTCTGGATCTGAAGTCAGATATGTGGCTCCGTATCATGCGCTTTTAGTAGTCATCACCAGAGAATTCTCTTGGGTTCTGTGGAATTTTTTACGTAACTCCTAGGTGCACGTCCCTAACTTGAAATCTTTAGTTATCTAAAAGACATATTAATTACAGTGTGACATACTCTCTTAATTCCTAACCGTTCGGGAATAGCCGGCCAGAGGCTGAGGCCAAATATGGTATCTGGTACAGTCAGAAGTCAAAGCTGAAAAGGACTGATTTCTAACAGAAGAGTGTACAGAGTGAAATAAATCGTAAATCCCTCAGACCTTTTCCTTCAGACATCCTCATACCCACATCACACAGACACACTGATATCCACCTTCCCCACCATCTTCTACTCTTCACATCCCGATGAGCCCGAGGACTACAAGACCACACGTGGGAGAACGTGGGAGTGAAACAAACTTCCACTAGCAGCTGCTTCCTCTCTCCCCATTTACAGAAGGTAAGACAGCCCAGTGAGTGACTGAGGAGCACTGCCTCCAAATGGATGCCTATCCCCGTCAGAAAGAACCAAGGCCACTCAAGTGCACTTAAATGTTAACTTTCAAAAAGGGGATTATCAAAACTCCAAGTGTGTTCATCTAGCTTTGTCAATGATGTTTTTCCCTTCAATCTGTGAGTCTGATCAAATGTAATTTTTAAAGTTTATTATAATCCTTCATGGTTAAAATCCTCACTTTATAAGAAAACCAACTGATATCCTTATGTGTGTTTTTTTAAATCCTTATTTAGGATACAAAATAAGATATAAAATCCTTATTTTATAAGAAAACTAATGGAAAAGTGAGCTTCAATATACACAAATGCCCATTACAGGTTAATATGTCTAGAATGTATCTATTACATTTGGTATTGTGACTATTCTAAACTAAGCTGGTAGAACTGATTTAAATCACTGCTTCCTTCCGTAAATGGTGACACCTTCAAAAAAAATGTTATCTTGAAGGGGAAGTGAGTGATTTGTTCATGTCTCTGAATTGTACTAGCACTATATTAACCTCTAGTACGGTTCCATCTTAAGCAAGTTTGAGAAATGCAGTTCCAAATCCATATTTCAAAACTAAGGTAAAATAAGGAAGGAAAGCTGTAACTGTGTAAATAAAAACTGAAAACAATCCATTTCCTAAACACTATAAATGCAGAGTTCTACCCTACCAAGCCACTCTGCAAGTCCCACTCAAAAAGACTAACAAGTGATTGCGAAAGTAAAAGCTGTTTCTATTAACATTCAGTTCAACTAGCATTTTTAAAATATTGTATTTGATTAAGACTCAGTTCTCAGAAGGATTCCTTATTTATGAAAGAAACAGCTAAACTCCTATACTCAGAAGCAATAGATTTTTAAAAATGCGTTTTTAAGTCATATAAAATATATTAAAATTCTCATCATTACAGTGACCAGGTAATAGGCACCTACTTAATGTTGGGTACACAATTTCATTTATCCCTAAAAACACTGTTAGTATACTACCACACCTTCCATGGTAGGAAACCCAAGCTCTGAGAAGGTAAGTGTCCTGCTCAAGGCTACAATAATCAATGAAAGTGTGGGGATTTAAACTCAAATTTACCTAGCTTCACAGAATGTGTTCTTCTAAACTGTGCTACCTCCCCATTTCGCAACAGAGAAATAGGCAGAGTGTGAATAAATTTGTCCAGCAGTCTTAATCGTTTCACCAAAAAAGGGAGATAATTTCTGAACCAGAACCACTTTTTGAAACCCGTAGCGCACTATTTCAACCTCACTTCTTTTCAAGAATTAACAGATTAAAAAGAAAAGTTGGAAACCCTTCTAAAGTAAACTAAATTCCATCAGAGATCTGCAAGGGAACTGTCATTTTGGACAAGTTCCCAGGGTTAGTGGTTCTATGTGCACAACCACCAGCGAGCACGAAGCACATCACCCAATTCAAACACATACCTGAATACCTGCACAATTTTAAGACTCCTTCCTGGAAAAGAGGGTACAAAAATAAGGCCCATCACAAGCCTCAAGGAGTCAGACTAGAGGAGTCCACTTATACTGCATATAATGTAGTCACCATTAGTCAGGCAAATAAATTACGTGTGAGAAACCCTAAAAGAAAAGTATGAACGAACGACGAGCTATCACAGCTCAGAAAGGAAAGCAACTGGCCTACTTGTCACATTGTGTTGTAAGAGTGTGTTTACATTTCGTTCCTCCCTGGCAACCCCGTCCAACCCTGTCAATCTCCTGCCCCACCATCCCACTACACAGGAACACACAACCAAGAAGGAAAAAAGTGACCACTTTGTTGCAGTTTACTGTTGTAGTTTAAAAGTACAACGCTTATTATTTGTTGATATATGCATTACACTTGATATAAGCATTAAAGAAAGAAGCACCATGCTTAAGACATAAGATTTTTCTTTCGCTCCCACAGGTGAAGAAAGTTGGCCTTTTTAAAGCAAAATGAGGCCAATCAACCAGAAAAACCCAGAACACTTCTCTAGACTCCTCTTAGCATGAGAAATCAATCAAAGCAATTGCCACACACACACACACACACTTTCTCCATTTCTTCTTTTTCATTTAGCAGACAGCAAAGGGATGTAACAACTGACATTCACACGTCCTACTCACTTCCTTTCACTAGGAATTTGATCAACGTTTCAGCCAGTTCCAGCTGGAGGATCTCAATAAATTATTCTCACATGATAAGCTAAATGAACCATTTTCAGAAGAATCACGCACTCAAAACTTGACAAGGCTCGCTCTTAATGCCGCCTGCAAATCCCCGAGAGGCCGGGAGGAAACACAAGAACTGCAACAGTGATTGGTCTCAACTGATCCTACCTCCTTTACAAACTTGCAAAAATAAAATAAAATAAAATTTTTTTAAATCATCGTTCAAAAACAGCAGCACTTGTCCTCATCTGGGCAACTCAATGTTTTAGAAAAACAGAATAAGCGGCTGCTTCTGAAAATAAAGCGGAAAAAGAAAAAGAAAAAAAAAAGGGCACGTTGCCTTTTCCTGAGGCAATAAACTCTCAAAACAGCTTCACTGAGCGCACAAAGCTCATCAGAAGTACACTCCAACTCCCCCTGGGAGTCCTAAATTCACAGCAGGGCAAGTATGATGTAATCATTCTGCTCTAAGAACTAGTTACCAGAAAGAAATTAATTAAGAAACAAACAAAACCTGTGAATCCTTTCTCCTGAGGTAAAAACACTGAGGGTACTCTCCCCGTGTGGCTTTAAAAGTCTTCGCACACTGGCCGGCGTTTTTTTTAAAAAAGTGTCCGTAAACCGTGTTTACAAATAATAAAAAGTTTGGGTTGGTCTCAAGGAGGGCTGCGCTGGAAGTCAGTTCAGAGTCGCGCCCACTGCGGGTCCCCTCGGGCCGCGGGTCCCCGACCCGCACGGGTCCCCGGCCGCGCCCCCGGGAGCAGGGGCCAAAAGCGCCCCCCGCAGGCGGCCGCGG